GATCTCCTAAATCAATGTTCCTGACCCTTGATATCATCGAATCTATAGCCCAAGAAAGAAAGAAAACAGTCGGTTCGAGATTTCCAGTTTCTCAACAGACCTGCTGCATCAACCTTCCGGACCCATGAGTTTTCATCGTGAAGCCAACAGAGAAAAAAGGACCCATTTAAAGCATTTGGACATTGGTATGGACTATGATGAGTGGCAAAAGCCTCTTTTCAGTATTTGAACAGGACATGGTCACTTGAAATATCAGACTTGATGGTTCCTATTTCTGGAATCACGACTAGGCCAGTGTATTTTTCTGGAGAAATGCAACTTGTCCTAATGTGACAACTATTGTTCATATTTTTCATAATGCTACATGTGTAACATCAATGATTGTGCCCAATGTGTGCCCAATCTGTGCAAGTGCACTTTCTAAATGCTTTCCTGAGCAGATCTTAAAACGATTGTAAACTTTATCAAATTGTAAATGTATATCACATGCGGGTTACCCTTGTAACAGACGAAGGCTGGTAGAATGTTATGGCCCAGATCTGGTGATGGGTATGGTAATGGAGAGGCGCTATGTCAATGGGGGTCCTGGAAATGGTGGCAGTGGCGGTAGGCATTCTGGCTTTATGCCGAGCTCAAACGTGCCTTGTTCCAGAGACAAGAGATCCGTAACCAAGTATTGCTTAGCTTAGCCCATGGCAATCCCGATAGCCATGAAGGTTGGTTACAGATGATTTAAGGTTGGGGTATCTCCAATGACGGGCAACCTGTGGGGAAGACCCCTCCCACCTAAAACAGGGGTTCAAGGTCCCCCAAAGACGGGAAAGGGAGGGTGACCCTACTTGACCTAAGCCAGGAGTGCCTCATTTGAAAATAAAAAGGGGTGAATTGTGGGAACACCAGACCTTGAGCAGAGACCCACTTCCCCTTCTGCCTGGGAGTAGGCAGCTGTAAGACAATGTTTAGTAAAAACATGTTTACTAAAAATGATACAATAAGTTCCTGGGAAAGGCCTTCCCACGGAAACCGCCCTGACCTCGACCTTGTCCAAAGACTAACCGCACCTTCAAAAACCCACACACATCCACCTCTGGTGTCAGAGCAGAACCAGCCAGGGTAGCGGAGAGAGCAGAAGCTTCTCTGGTGGGAGCCTTTCTTAGGAAGTTTTTCTTGAACCTTTTTGGAGCCTGTTTAAAGTTTTCTTTATATCATTGAACGAGTCTCTGTGTTTTCAATACCCGACACCCTCCGCACGTTCTCGGACACAGGCCGCGCAGCAGACGTGACATTCTGGGATTTTGGATGACTTGATCTGGTACATACTTGTGCATCCACACCCAGCCAGCACTGAGTGTAAGGGATGTGAAATAGATGTCTCATTTGAAAGCAAGCACTCCGCTGTCTCTTATTCTCTGCATATTGGTCGATTGGAATCTCTGTGTTAATTGCCATCTATTGCAAAAAGAATCTTCTCTAGTGAATGATGAGAGACATATTAATTCACAAGTAATAAAGGTAAGTTCTCAGGAGGCAGTTTAGTGCTATGTACATTTGTCTAAATAATAGGAATAAATTCTTCCCTGAGGCTTAGTCTCTTCCCAGTCAAGTGTTTTTGTTTTTTTTTTTAAGGGAACCTGGGATGAGTTCAATCTTGTGGATTGAACCTTAGATACAGCTAGAAAGTGGTGGGTTAGTCCCATGACATTCTTGTCACTATTGAACCAGTGGGCAGATCTTGCCAGGCCAGGTGTTATTTTAACTCACAAGATTTATGGCCTAGTAATCTATTTAACCTTGGGCAGCAGATCAGTATTCATCCCGAGTATACACATGACTTTGGACTCCCATCCAACAATGTGAGATGCACTCTCACCCTGAACTCTTGGGGGGAGGGTCTAGATCCTGCCGTGGATGAAATGACAGACTATGGACACACCCATGGAGGGCCTCACCCTCCCTGGAGAAATAAGGGGATAGTGGGGGGGGGTTAGAGGGAGGACATGGGAGGAGGGGAGGGAAACAGAGAGGGACCTGGAATTGACTTGTGAAGTAACCTTGTTTCTAATCTAAATTTAAACTCAAAAAAATTTGAAAAGTGAAAAAAAAAAGATTTATATCCTTGGAAGACTGTTAGTGTGTGTGTGTGTGTGTGTGTGTGTGTGTGTGTTTTGTCCTCCAATAGCATACATATCACCTTCCAGCTCTCTGAAATCAAGCTGATGAAGATAAAGCTTCCAAGTTATTGCCAGCTTGATTCCTCCCTGTGCTATGATTTAAATGTGTGGTGTCTTCATGCTATTGCCATCAAGTTTTAGAGGACAACCAAGAATAATCACAGTAGTCTGTTGTATTTTTGGAGGTCTTTATGACCTCATTGGCTAACAATATAGTACCCTATGCATGCACTAGCTTTTTTATTTGTTTTCTGGGAAAGGCATTAACTTCAGGTAAATTATATTTATAGATGCATATGGCTATATTTTAAGAAGTTTCCAGCATAGTAGGTTTCCATATGACTTTTTCAAAGGTCTTTAGTGTTACTTATCCCTCTGCAAACTCCCTTCTCTGCTCTGCACCCTCCTCCACACCTCATTTAGCCTTTCCTGTTCCATTATCCCCTTTTCGCCTTTTATATCACCTGTGCTCTATGCCTTTCTCTTGATATCCCCTACATAGTTCCTTACTAGTTTCCTGAATTCTAAGGGCATGCCAATGTAAACAAACATACTTATGATCCAAAACTCCAGTTTACCTGCAAATTTCTTAATTTCATTTTTCTTTTTCTTATAGAGGAATAAAATCATATGTATAAATATATATATATACATATATATACAGTGTTTTTATTTTCTATTCATCAGTTGATGGACATCTAGGCTATTTCTATTTTCTGACTATTATGACTAGAGCAACAATGAACATGAATAAGCAGCAAGTTATCGCTGTTTAAAATTTAGAGTCCTTTGAATATACATACATACATACATACATACATCATACATACATACATCTGGGATTTGCATCTTATGGCAATCTATTTCTAGTTGTTTTGTATATCCTCTACACTGATTTCCATAGTGGCTTCACTTTGTACTTTAGAAAGTTAATGAGTATCCTCACTTTTCAATATCCTCAAAAGCATTTAAAAAATATGGACAATCTGACTGGGGTTAGATGAAATCTCAAATTTGTTTTAATTTTCATTTCCATGATGGCTACAGATGCTGGATATTTTAAAAATATTTGTCAATATTCTTTTAGAAAAAAATTATCTTCATGCCCCACTTCTCAATTAGCTTTTAGTTAACTTACTTAATTTTTTAAATCTGCTGGACTGTCTTTTTTATTTTATTAACTTTTATTGATTCTTTGTGGTTTTCACATCATGCATCTCCCATCCTATCAGCCCTCCACCTTTGCAACCTCCTCATGAAAGCAAAACAAAATTTAAAGAAAAACCAAAAACCAGCTAACCAAACAAAACAAAGCAGAACAAGAAGGAAGAATTAAAAGACAAGGAATCTCCTTGTGGAAGCTGTGGTGTGGCCTTGTGAGGAACACTCACATTTAGCCCTTTAGTTCTTTCATCTTCATTTGCAAGTGCTCATTGCCATGAGACATCCATCTGGTTAGGGACCGCTGTCCTAGGCCACACCATTGACAACATTCTCTCACCTGGGCTACTCCCACCTGGACTTCCCACCTTTGTCCTGTATCATAGAGATACTGGAGTTTTGGATCTGTATGATCCCCTTCTTATACTCTAATAGTTCTGGGTCTGGGTGTCAGCTGGATTAGTCAACCTGCAAGGTTTTCCCCCATTGTCACTCTCATCCTTACAAACTCCCAAGCACTGCCTCAGCTTGCCCACCTAATGCAGGCTGTTGTGCTCTGGGGCACTCAGGTACAGTTCACTCAAACCCACACCACCAGGGCTAGCTCTACTCTCTTTCCCAGGTGAGGTGCAGGGCCCTTTCTCCCAATTGCTGTAGGAGTCCTAGGAGTTGTGTGGGCAAGAACAGTTCTGTTCTCACACCCTCAGGGCTGGCTCACCTATGTCCCTGACAACAGGATTAGCACTGGTGTGGTTCCCTGGTGAGTTTTAGGGTCTGCTCCACTGTGTGCTGCAGTTGATTAGGGCCAGGACTAGTTCTCCCACTCTAGTAATCCTGGGAACAGCTCTCTCACCTAACATAGGGAGCAGGAGGTAGGGGAGGGTATCTTTCCCTCACCCATGCCCCTACGTGGCAGTCAAGCTGTGAAAGGGATAGCTCTCTGACTCTCAAGCCCTCAGGGTGGGCTTGCCTGCATCACTGCCAACAGGGTCAGCTCTAATGTATTGCCCAGGAGGGATTCAGGGTCTGTTCTCCCTTGTGCCAAAGGCAGTAAGGGACATGGATAGTTCTCCACCTCTCTTGATCCTAGAGGCAAGTCTCTTGCCCTCCATGGTTAGCAAGGGTTTGGGGGGATTTATTTTAAATCTGGACCTCAGTTTCCCTCCATCCTTTCCTCCCATTTCCTCCTACCACTGATCCTCTACACCTCCCCTCACCACAATCCACTCTTCTTCTGTTTCTGTTCAGAAAGGGCCAGTCCTCCCATGGGTGCCAACAAAGTATGGCCTATCATGTTGCAATAAGACTAAACACCTCCCCTTGTATGAAGGCCGGGCAAGGCAATCAAGTATGAGGAATAGGTTCTCAAGATCCAGCCATAGCCTGAGGGACAGGCCCTGCTCCAATTGTTAGGAGTCCCACAAGTAGACCAGGCTACAAAACTGTCACATATGTATTGGGCCCAATTTGGTCCCATCCAGGTTGCCTGGTTATTTGTTCAGACTCTGTGAGTTCTATGGGCCCAGGTTCGTTGTTTCTGTGAGTTTTCTTGTGATGTCCTTGGCCCCCTTTTTCGGCGATATTTATTACAATTTATTTTCTAATATATTTTAAATTATCAATTCCAAGTTTATTTCAGTTAGTACTGCAAGAAAAAGCAAAATACAAGCAATTTGAATTAGCCTTGTCACTTCTGATTCACCATCAAGCAATTCCATATTTCCAGGAAAATTATTGTTCCAATGCCACATTTACATTTTAGGATTTACCACTTTGTTTGAAAATAGCCAAACTTTTAGTCTTAAACAATAAAAACACCAATAAGTATGTTAACAAGCAGATTATGAAGTAAGCTAACCCTTGTTTAAAGGAAGATTTGCAAAATAGCAAAAAAAATACATATACTTTTCTCATGTATTACAGAACAATAAGATACAAACTTTATTATTTCTATCCCATAGTACATTCCATTACTGAGAAGACTGTCTACTCTTCAGCACAGTGAAAACTGTATCTCAATCCAACTAAATGCGGGAGGAACTGTGAGCCATGCATCTGCGATGAGCCCTAACATCCCTGACATCACTGGCATCAACAGCATTGCCAGGAACAGCTGTAAATCTCCTTGCTGCTCTATTAGCCTCATCAAGCATAGCCTCTTCATACATACTAGGGAAGAAACTGGGGGAAGTATTATTGATCTTAGCTACAACTTCCAGGACCTTCATCTTGGTGGTTTCAGCATAGGCTCTGGGACCCCATCTGAACTCATAGCTTGGGGGGTCACTGCCAGGAATCTGGCGGTATATCACATAATTTTCCTCCACCAAATCTTTGGTGATAAACTCCCGGGGCTCCCCAAAGATTACATGACTCTTCCCAGGATATATCCCCACCACTTTCAGGAATTCCCAAACATCTTCCTCACTGGCACGGTTCCCCTTCATGAAAATCACTCCCAGGAGGGTCATCAGGAGCCCTGTCTTGGGCAACCCACTACTGCCACTCAGACTTCCCTCAGTGGAGAGGCCCAGCTTGCCCACAAGCATATATGACTGAGAACTGGGATCAATTTCCTTTAACTCAAGGCCAAAGACCAACTCCAAGCGCACAGAGATTCTCCTGAGAATCTCAGTGAAGTGCACCTTGTACTTCTTGTTAATCACCCTCAGCATATCTGCCTGTGTGAAGGGCTTTTTCATCTTAAATTTCTCCAGCATGAACTCTATCAATACATTGGCCTTCCTGGTCAGCGGATCTCTGCGTGCAGATTGCATGGCGACTGCTATCTTGACGGCACATGCGCTTCTTTCATCATCCTCTGCAACAGACGCCTCAGCATCAACATCAGAACCCTCGGCACCGACATCACTTGTCTCCTCAGCACCTGCAACAGAGCCCTCAGCACCAGCATCAGAAACCTCAGCAACAACATCAGAACCCTCAGCAACAACATCATAGCCTGAGTATGGTATATCTAACTCAGGAAAGCCATGGGATGCAGCCTCCTGGGACCCCTGAGGAGTGCACACATCAGGGGAGCTTGGGGCATCTCCCTGGCCACGAGGGGGCGCTGCTGCTTCCTCCTCTGCAGTGGGCTGAGTATCCTGAAGATTCTGGCTCTCTCCACGGACATGTTGCCTTTTGGCCCGGGAGCGTCCCTTGCTCTTGTTGCCCCTAGGCATGATGAGTTGTCTCAGGGGCAGCAGGCAGGTGTGCTGAAAAAATCTGGAGGGAATAGAATAACACTATGAGTGGCATACCGTCACCAGGTAGTGTGAAACTTCCCTTTAATGAATGAATGCTCCCTCTGCTGCTTTTCTCGGGGCATCTTTGGAGTGCTCACAGTGCTTTGTTTGTCCTGGTCAGTCCACTTCCTAAGAAACCTGTGCAGGAAATCAGAGTCTGTTAGCCCACTGAATTGCACCCTAGGTTATAGCATCCTAGTGAGAAACGCGTCTTCACTAGAGCCCCATTTGATAAAATTCAGAATGCCCGTGTACATGTTTAACTATGTCTGGGTCCCCATTTTTCACTGCCTCTCTAAACTTAACACTACGATCTTTACTAGTAACACACAGGAAAAAATTAAGGCAAGCTTCACCCCTCATGTCTGATGCTATTCAGCAGATACTAAATATGCCTATGCTTTTAAGTCCCCATTTCTTTCCCGAAACTCTTCACTGTGAACATTCTAAAATACTCCCCATAATTCTCCCACTTCACTGTTCTCCAAAGAACAAAGTGAGGTAGTATCTTGGACTTTAGGCCTGTCTGACCCACCTAAGCCACCATACAAGGGAACAATTCTGTGTATCCGTTCCTCCATAAAGCATGGGCCAATCTTCCCAATGTTCATAACTGGCCTCCCGCCTTATGAATCCATAAATCCTTTATTTCCTCTTTTGTTCCTTAGTTCTCCAGCCTCTGAACGAGGCCTTCACCCTCTAAGAAGCACGCTGAAAGTGACCGATATCTCGGCCTAATCGCCATGTCCGGAACTCTGGAAACCAGAACAGAAGCAAACCTGTGTGGCTGGCTTCCTTTTTATGGGCTTTGGTTTAGGGGATTCACAATAGGTTTCTGGTTGTCCTAGTTTTGACCTAGAAAACTCCCTCCAAACACTCTACAACACAAGCGGTGATTCTTTTACCTGACAGGAGTTGCGTACACCAAGCGGCCCAAGGTCCTGTAGCGACTGGACAGTTAACCGGAAGTTAGGGTCTTCCACTTCCGATTTCCTGACCCCTCTACCCCTTGTTCTCTGAATAGAACCCCATAGGAGGAACTGCTCTTGTTATTTTTCGTTCCGGGAGAATGAAGTCCCCAGATCACTCACATCAGTTCATGTTGACTTTGCCTGTGAGACATGAGCCAGGTCACCAGACAAAAATGTGCTGTCCGCCAGAATCCTGAGAAGAAAGTAAAATGGAGCAATTTGGATTATAGGATCCTTGTTCATGACTTAACCAGAAAGCATAGAAAGGGTTCTGTGCTGCCTATGCTATTTTGTTCTTGAAACCCTGAATATTTACTGTGATTCATCACCATCTCCCACTCATGCACTCCCCTGGGCACCTATTTACTCTCTTCTTTCTCAATTCTCCTTTCCACTCCTTGGTCTTTCCCCTATTCCTTCCCTTTCTCTTCCTCTCCCCTTCCCCCACTCCCTTTTATCAACCCTCACCTCTTTCCCTCTACTGTTTTATCTTGGACTATTGTCTTTCTGTGTATCTCAGATTGCCCTAGAACTAATGAGCTCTTGTTACTTTCCCTACTCAGTGTCCCCATATGCCATGATTCCTGGTGTCTTTCATTTTTTCCTGATTGAAGATTATATCTTTTGTTGTTCGTGGGGAACAAGAACTAACTGTGTAGCACAGGCTGTCCTGGAAACTTTATGATATAGCTTAGAGTGGCCTAGCATTGACAATCCAACTGACTGTTTCTTGAATGCTGGAATTACAGACCTGTGCCACGTTTCTAGAATTAAATTAATTTTTATCTTGATTATTTCACCCACATGTCTGTTCATAACTATCAGTTTTTCCAGTCCCGGTTGATCTGACAGCCTTTTCTGGCTTTGGGGGACACTGCACACACACGGTACAAAGAAACATATGCAGGATAACCACTCTTACACAAAGAATAATTTTAAAAATTAAGAATTTAAGGTAATTAATATTTTATAATACTTTTCCTATGATGGATGAACTATATATTTCTATTGGAAACTCATTTTACAGTCTAGTAGTAAGTTTTTATAGCTATCTCTCAAGTGTGTACCTTTATGTTTGGCTTTCTTTTAAGTATATTTTGGATATTGATGTATTATAGCTATACTGCCAATTACAAATCTTAATAAGATGTTTATTTTATTTAACTAAGCTTCTGACATTCCTGAAGGAAACATTGTGTGGCAGATTTCTCAATAGTGCTATAAAATTGTTTTTGGAACCAGTTACTTTTTTGTGAGTACACATTCATTTTAGCATTAGCAGAAAATATTAATTGTACAAATAATGAATTTCATTTTGATGTTTTTATACATGAATATAATGTATTTTCATCATATTCATCCCTTGTCTTGCATTCTCCTTGGATTTCTCAGTATTCCTTTCCTTTCAATTCCTTTATTGTGTTCACAGTTCTCCATGAGAGAAAACATATTATACTTGCATTTTGAGTCTGATTTATTTTGGTTCATATTTTGATATAGTTACATACAAGTTCCTGCAGATTGTATAATTGTCTTCTTGATGGATGAATAAAACAACATAACACATTTATAAAAATGTGAGAATAAGTTTTTAATTTTTTTGCTTTTTCAATTTTTTATTTTTATACATTTTTGTATTAAAAAGAAAAGCATAATAATTACCACCAATTACAAAGGACTACAGCAGGACCAGAATAATGAATGAATCACTTCAGCCTGGGAAGCAGACACTCTCAATAATATTAATGTTATGATACAAGATCATTCAAGTATTTTACATTTTTTGTCCTGTTGAATGTGATATCCTAGCACATGGCAAAGACAGTGTATGAGCATAAAGTGGAACCTTCTTTGAAAAGCCCATGATGAGTTTTCCTTTCCTGTGAGAACTGAGCTGAGTGTTCTCTTCTGCCTCTGCCATCGCCATAGCTGGAGGAGAGAGTGGAGCTGGGGAGAATCCATGGGCCCTTAACAAGAGAGGTACTCTGGGGCTCCCATCCAGGGGATCGGGTAACCCAAGCCTCCATGTCCCCTGCTGTTTCACATACCCTTCTGCCACCTTTGGGGGAAGGAAAACAAAGGATCTCAGAGTGTGTGTTGGGGAGTTCCAGCATCTCCCCCCTCCAGCCCAAGTTTTTAATTTTTAACAGATTTAATTTACATAAAAGTCACACTATATTATTCAAATATAAAAAATACACAACTGAATGTTTTACTAAGTGTAAAGATATTGATATACTAAACATAAAGACATATTCACACCAATATCAATTGTAAGCTTTTCAAACTTATGAAAACTGTAATCATTAGCAGCCATGCATTTTCCCCTACTTTATTCCTAAGTAATCAGTATTCTTCTATACTTTTTACAGATTTACCTGCTCTGGACATTTTTCACAAAAAGTGAGTCACACAATTTATGAATTTTTTCATGATTACATCCATTCACTTAGCATACTGCTTTCAACATTTATTCACATGTTACTAAGCACGAATCTAAAGAATCTGTGCTCCATTAGGAAAAGAGTGTGATATTTCTTCTGAAAGTCCACCATAGAATATTTTGATTTTTTCATTCGTTTTTGATGAGCACACAAGTTGCTTCTTCAATTTGTGGTATTGTGGGAAATGCAATGACAAAGAAGATTAAGATGATATCTTTGTTATAAGCTTACTTTGATTGATTCGTGTATATACTCATTCTTGGTATACCTGAAATAATTCCCATCTCTATAGAAAGAATGTCAGAAAACGCTATTCTGATTTCCAAAGGGACTAGACTGATTTTCAATACCACCAGCAGTGCATGACATTTTTCTTTTTGCCAGAATATGTTATTTTTAGTTTCATTATAATAGATAATCTGTTTAGGGTGAAATAAACTCAAATTTTACTGTTGATCTACCTTTTCTTAATGACATAAAGCATAGGACATTTTTATTGCCATTTATATCTCTTTGTTAAGTGTCTATTCATTTTAACCTATTTATTTATTGTGTTATTTATTATTTATTTTTCCCTTTGGGGGAAATTTATCATTTTCCCTTGGGGGTGCCATTTCTGACCTCTTATGTATTTGACATATTAATCCCGTTTCAGGTATGCAATTTTATCCCATTTTGTGCTCTTTTCAGTCTTGTAATTTTTCCTTTATTAGAATCATTTTTATATCTTATGATCTCCTGTGTAAATGCATGCTATTGTTTCCATAGCCTTTAGACTTTCTTCCCAGAAATCTGTTTCTAATACGTATTTCTTTAATTGCTTTTGCTAAGATTTTCTATAGCAACTATAAGGTATAATGTCTTAAGTTCACTGACCTATTTGAAGTTGATTTTTGCACAATGTGTGAAATAGGGATTTAGTTTCAATATCCAGATTTTCCAGTACCAGTTTTGTTTTTACCTCAGACAGGACTTATCTGTGAAACAGTCCTGGCTTTCCTGAAAATCACCTTGTAGACCAGGCTGACCTTGAACTCACAGAGATCTGCCAAGCACTTTTAAAGGCCTGAGCCACCACCGCCCAGCCTAGCACCAGTGTTTTAAGAGATTTTGTTCTCCAATATATGTTTTCATTAATTCTGTTAAGAACCACAAGGCATGTCAATTCTTTTATTCAAACAATTAGATCATATTGCCGTTACTATTGCTTCTTTTCATTATATTGACATCTTCTTTATTTTTGGTTTGTTTGCTTATTTTATTCTCAACCTTTGGAGGAATGAAAAATACACTTTTTTCTTGTTTTACAAGCTTGTTTTACATGTCAATCCCGGGGGACCTTCAAAGTCTGTTACATCATTTGGAGCAGGGCCTAGTCCCTCACCCATGTAAAAGTATCACTTTATATGGAGTGGACTCCCAAAGTATATTCATAGTCTAGGAATAAATACTGATTTACTACCAGAGGCCCCATAGATTTCCTAGACCTCTTCACTGACACCTATGTTCTGGGGTCTGGAACAGTCCTATGTTGGTTTCCCAGCTATCAGTCTGGGGT